TTGACCCAAGCTATGCACAAATATATTTTTCAGGAGCTCTTTGGGAAGGAAGCCAAAGACTCTTTCCTTGTGAACTTACACAGTGATGTTCTAAAAATGCTTCCTGTGAACAAAGCTGTTACCCTATGACTCTTTGGGAAATGAACTATCCTACATTGTAAGTGTGTGGGGTGTACTGCCATGTAACCGTGTCTGACTGGTTTTCTTTCTGCAGAAAACAAGATACATACTGACTTAGATATGTGGTGAATTAAAGGTATCACGCTCCCAAGCCCAGCTGAGCACTGCTTTATCAGACTCTAAGAAATGAAGAACATGTTGCCAGTGAGTTAAGGAAAATATGGTTAATTTTTTTTAAGATAATCTCTGCCTTCCTATGAAATCCATAGTGATATCACTGGAGTAAGAGATAATGAGACTAATATATAAAAAAAAATAGAAAGTATACTAAAAACCAGTTACTTGAGCTTATTTCAAACTATGTATACAATCAAAACATGGTAACAATTTATCTGTCTATAGCATGTCAGATAATTTCTAGGCCAAAACCAAAATGAAAGACTAGAATTCCTACTACAGCAAAATTTTCCGCTATGCTCCACTGTAGCATGGTAATTTCTTTGAATTATTATTGCATAGAATATTCTCCTATTTATGAGGGTTTCAAACTCATCATTGAAGAGGCCTGACACAATGCCAAATGGAAGCAATGTAAAAACTACAAACTCGAGTGAGTTCTTGAAAAAATAAGTCTTTTGTGAACAAAGTTGCTTCCTTATGGTATGGCTTGCCTTGAATAGAAGCATATTTCCACCATTAGAAGTTCTCATTAACTGTGACGGGCCCTAATGAAGCAGACAAGCTGTAGGCCCTATATTGACTTCTTCGCTATGTGGCAAAAGCATGGTTGCTAAATCTCACGTAATCTGCTGATAACCACTTCCTGAAGGACTTTTAGTAACATTCTTGAAAGAAACAATGAGAAAAGAAACAACAAATATTTAGAATTAAAATATGTATCAATGGATAGCACACCAAGGGTATTCAAGTTGGCAATAATAATGCAAATCTTGCTTGTGTTTTCTACAGGAGAGAGATCAGAGCAGTTCAAGGTCTTTAATTCCATACACATACACTGAAATAATTTTAGGTTCTTCCTTTCTGAAGTTATACTTTCTCCCATCCCACAATCTGATTGTTATCATCAGTTAGGTGCTGGTGCAGTGGAATGGAATTGATGACAGGATCCTTGCCCAGCTTGAATGAGTCTATGTAATCAATTTTTAGCTAACACGTATTTTTCTGCCTCTTTGCTAATCCTTGCTATGCAGGATATGTTCCTTTCTTAAGGGAAGGGATATTCTTTACATTTTAAAAAACACAACCCTTTGAATGCAAATAAAATGACTAATGCTTCTTAAGCTCCCAGTGGTTCCATGCAGTAACTTAAATGAGAGGCTGTTAGTTCATCTGTGACTGAAAACCAAAACCAGACAGATCAGCTTGTTAGAGTTCTCACAACACATAGCTATGAGTTATGATCCTGGTGGGGAACATATTTCTTTTTCAGTTGCCTTCTTTTAAGCTTCTCTTTCAGTTTTTTCATTATATTGGGATTTTAGAAAATGGTTGCATCTAATCTCTTTCTAAAAAGTCTTATTGAGAAAAATGGAAGGAGCAGATGCTATTTTCAAATGTGAAAATTTAGCTAAAAAGATGAAACACAAGTTTTCTAGTGACAATTCATAAACCCCACACAGTCTTCTACTCTGTGCTGTCTTAGGGAAGCCAAATTTGAAAAACACAACAGGAAAAAGATATATTGGTTTCCTTCTAAAAGCATATTCTTCCAGGTTTTGCATGAATCTAGGTTAAATTAATTAATGTAAGATGCCTGCTGGTCACTGTTTTCTGTGTGTACATGAAATGCCTAGTGAAACAAACTCATCAAAAGAATTTGGCACAAAGGTACCAACAATGTGGATGGTCATAGGCTTTATTAGAGAACAGGCAGCTTGATATCCAGCTTGGTCAGGACAGGATAACTGTATGCAAGCCAAGAGGCAAAGCTTTACATACATAAGGAAATTTTAACAGGAAAATGACATGTATTGCATTTCAATTCATAAATGCACTGGTTTTTGTTGTAAAGAGCTTCTGCTCTGAGAGTTCTGGCAGCAGAAGTGTGCTTTGAGTTCCTCTCCTCTTGATGCCGGAATCAGTGGGAACACCTGCACTGCTGAGAGAGAGTGGATTTGCTGGATTGTCCAGCATGCTTTAGGAATGCTCCAAACCCCCCTCCAATTTCTTTGAATCTGATAAGCAGTGTGGATGCCCAGTGTCTGACAGAAACTTCTGAAAATGTTTGTCAGGACCCATCACAGCAATGTCCTTGCACTGTACATTTCTCCACTGTAACTGCTGTGGTGACTGCCCTGCCTCAACCTCCAGCTGTTAGGCATTGCCAGACCTGCTTTGCCTTTGCTGGGACTACTGAGACTACAAAATAACTTCACACTACAGAGCTCTGGAGCTCATTAACTGAATCAAACTTCATCGGCAGTATTATAAAATCTGGGTCTTGGATCTAGTATCAACTAGTTGATCTAGTATCAACTTCACCAGTTTTATCAGGGATGTAGATGTCTATCTACAGGACAGAGATACAAACCGGCCACTAGATGAGCATAAGCTTTGACTCTGACCAGCTTTGCTTTTATTTGAAATTAAATAATGCAGTCTGCATAGTGTCAGTTTGGAGGGCTATTCAGTCTCCCCTGCTGTTACCTTTACTTTATATTGCTTATCTGATTCTCATCTAAACCAAGGGAAAGATGGCTGGTGTCTTCTGTGAAAGATGAACTAAACCCTTTTCAAGTTCTCAAATGAAACAAGACACAATGCATGTGATTCCTCTCCCCCAGCTTCAAGGTCTAAATTCAACTGTCCCAGTGTAGATTGTGATTTTTAGCATATATTATTTTAATATATTCAAGAAGTTTGCAAGGCTGCCAGGAAAAATGGGGTATGTAAGAGAGCTATGCCCTTCTGCAGTGCCAGTGCCCTTTTGCAGGCCAGATAGAATGCAGCTCAGATGGCAATATGGGTGCAACTGGATTGAACCATAAGTAGTTGTGAAGGACATGTCTACATGCAACTCAAGTATCCAGGCTAATCTTAATGTTAATGGAGTTAATATATCAGTAAAATACACAGAATTAGTTCTCTTAATCTGAAAGCAGACACCCACATTTGATGAAATTAATTGCACATTGAATTCAATGGATGATATTCATGAAGTGAGCTAAGTGTTTTACTTGTCTTGAACTAAACATTCTGCTGTGCTATAACTCAAAGTCCATAAGAATAAAAAAGGCAAAAAGCCTCTCGTGTTTGATAGCCAACACCGAGTCAAAGTTTTAATTTTTCTGCCACTGCCTCCAGGTTGACCCATAAGGATTTTCTCTCCTCAGAGAACTATAATGGCTTTTCAGATCATATAATTTTCCATATCTCCTGCAAATTGTGTAAAACTGTTTCATCGCAACCATAGACTTATGTATCTATGAGGGAGCTTTCAGACTGAGGAGACAGACTTTCCAATATGACATCTAAGTTCCCTATGCAGTTTTACCTTTTCACTAACTCAGTTTGATCTCTCTAGTTGTGTCTTGAAAGCTGTATTTGTATTCTGGAAGTTGTGTATTGTGGAAATTTTAGCCTGCCTGCATAGTAAAGAACCTACTTATCAGCCATTGATTTAAAGGTTTCTGAAACTGTGAAGCGCTTTCAACTCAGACACTGCACAAACTTAGGTTATCATCTCTCCAGATTTTGTAGAGCAATGCAGTGTCAGAGTGGGTAAAATCTGGATGGCAGCTGTGATCTCAAAGGACTGCAGGATGCTGCAGTGAAAGGGTAGTAGTGATTCAGAAGACAATAGTTTTCCCTCCAGGTTCCCAATTTGCTTCAGAGGCCCTGTACTGATGAGAAAGATAAACCTGACTCTTGGTGGCCTGTGGTCAATCTGAGATCTTATTGAACATTTCACAGGGGAAAAGACACTGACCTCAGTGTCCTTGACTGCTTATATAACACCAGTAAAACCAAGTCCAGAACATTTTGGGACAAGTTTTGCATTCCTAACTCAGTGTTAGGTGCCAGGATTTCTCCTGGTGTGCTCTGGATCAAATGAGCTCTTCAAAGCAAAAGCTGCATTGGACTTGGCCCCAAGTTCAGCTCCCTTCTAGATCTGCTGTCAGCTGTGCATTGGGAAATTCACCCACAGCAGATGGACTTTTGTTCCACTTTGGTTTTGATGCTGTCAGGTGAGTGGGAGTTATTTGAACTCCAAAGAGTGCATTTGAAATTAAAAAGTAACCAAAATCCCAAGTGATCCTGTCCATGAGCAGATGTTTTTAGACCACAGCCATCAAAAAGCCTGTACAAGAAAACAATAACTACAATAGAAAAACAGATTGTTGGCACTTTATGCACATCAAGAAAGAGAGTTACAAAAATGGGGAAAAAACATTTTGATGTTGCTAAATCATACTTATTTACTAAGTATTGATACCAGATGACTTCCCATTTCTTGATAAAAACATTTCAACATGATACATGGTTTCATCTAAAAGGTTTTTTTTAAACATTATAAGATGGAGAACACTTAATGGGAGAAAAACAACAGGAAGAGCAGGTTGGTTTATATAAGAACTAGCAAAATGTTGAGCATATATAGGGACAGCAATCATCACAAGTCACTGGATTAGCTATACCCCGTGGATACAACAGACAGACTTGACTGCATTCCCAATCTAAATACAGGTTGGAAGGAGAATGTACTGAGAGCAGCTCTGGGGGAAAAGATTTGGGAGTGCTCATAGATGAAAATGGACCTCTATAACTTGATAAATTATGTGAATCAAGTTATCACATCCAAATCAGACATCTGGTCTAATAGTCATCTCTTCAAATGTGGGGGTGTGAATGAGGCAAGGATGAATGGAAGAAATGAGGAGAGAGATTCTTCAAGAAGCCGGATGAGAGACAAAGGTAATATTAAACAAAATAGTTCTGATGACACAACCTCTCAAGAACTTCAGGAAGTTGCAACTGACAGGTTAGATGGAGACCCAGGAGAAGGTCCTCTCACCCTCTGGGTGAGAATAGCACACTCAGTGTCTTTTCCTTGCTTTCAGGATGAGTCTCCAATCCTTATACTGCTATATAAAATGTGACTAAAACTTCATCTCCTTCAGCTCTTCTGAAGAGAAGATTTAGGCCAATGTACAGTCAGGGATTATACCCAGACACCTCAGTGCAGGAGCTGTTTCAGTCCTGGGTTTGTTTCACTGCAGTGACTCCTACCTGGCAGTGTCACACTTGGCCTGCTTCAGGGATTTTCTGCCACCTGGTTGTGAAGAATTCCATCCCCTCTCAGTTGCTCACATCTTTGTAGCATTGTGTAACACCAAACACCTCATCTATTTGGAAAACTGGAGCTCATCCTAATCCTACTAATGGTGCAGTGACTTCTTCCTTCTCTAAGGACAGCAGGAAGGGCTGGGGAGAGTGGAACTGGAACTTTGAGGCTCCTTGACCTGACTGAATAGCAGTCCAGTAGAGAAAAGCGCATTCAATTTGGGACATGAGTGGTTCACTGCTGCTGTTCCTGAATACCAAGAAACTAGCAGAACTGTAAAAGAACAGTGCTTGCAACTCAAACTACCAAAAATGATCAATGTTAAAAGATTTGTCTGTGGAAAAGCTTTATGAGACTTTGCACCAACAGAGAGGGAGTTTTTGAATCCCCGTTCTCCCTTGCAACAATGAACATCACATTACTTGTTCATTTTCAGATTTAATCTCAACTGCAAATATTGATATATTCATCTTGTTCTCTTCCATATGTAGTCGCTGCTCTTTCCTAACAACTCTGAAATGCAGCTGCTCCATGACAAGTAAAGGATGAGGAAACAGGCATGCATGACTCCTTGAATAGTAAAATTTTCCAAAGACTGGGCCAGGAGCACACAGGAGTCCTGGGGATAGCAGTAAATATACGTTCCCTTGGGTTCTTTGGAGTGGAGAGAAGACAAGCATCTCCTTTTTTTCCCTCTCTTACGTGAAAAAATACACTTAAAACAAGTACATTTTTGAACACATTTCCAATTTCACTGTAGAAATATGATTCAGTAATTTCATTATGCAAATTATACTAATTTAGAGTGCTTATTATTTATTCTTTTTACCCAGTCATTACCAAAAAAAGCCATGATGGTTTTAACTTATTTGGATAAAGCACACTGATAAAAAAATTTGGAGAGAATACTCATTAAACCCATTACTTTTTTTTCAGCATGAAACATTGTGGGAGATTTCCTACACAAGGCAGCTCTTGGCCCCAAATGGAAGGGGAGTATGAAGCAGAAGTGAAAGAGGTACAGCTCCCATCTGTCTCTCAGTAGGGCTTTGATAAGGACACAAAGAACTTCAACAGGCCTCTGTGTGGAGGGTGTTGCAAGCAGAAAGCCTTGTGAGCACTGGTGAGTTTTCACAGATAGTCATCCATGGAGAGAAACCAGAGAAGAGGGATTAATGAGCTGGAATAACATGATCTTGAGGAGTACTACAGTTTGTGCTCCAATGTTTGTTCACACTGCACACATCTGTCACAAACAGGCTCATGAAATCATTTGCTGTTTGCTTTATCTGCAGAAACATTCTTTGTGTGCTGACATCACACGAAACGTGCCAGGGTAAGCAAATGCAACCCTGTGGCAAACAGCTCAGACCAACAGTAACACCTGTCTTCTTAACTTGCCAATTATTTCACAGGGCTGAGCTATTAAAAATGCCAATAGCTTGGGTGAGAAGGTGTAACAACCACCTCTGCAATCTGCCCTTTTGCTCAAAGCTGTTCTGAGTCACATGGTCAGGCTGAGAGCTCCAGTTTAAAACAGTAACAGCAGGCTGTGAGAAAACTGCAGCACCATCTACCATGGGAAGTGTCACTTTCTTTACTTGGACCTGTTTCTTCCCAAGGACCTGTTTTAAGTCACCAAAAATGAGAGGACACTGGCCCTTTGGACTGACCTTATCTTCTCCACACTTGACCCCATGTTCTCCTCTTTATGGCTTCCCTCATCCTACCAACCTCCCTACTCTGGCTTTTGAGTTCTGCTAGCTCCTCCCTTCTGCCATCATTCCGTCTTCACAGGGAAAACTGAAGCTGCTTTGTAATTTTCCTCATTGTGCTCATGTTGCTTTTTCTTTAATTCCTCAGAAGTAGCTCTACTTACCTTTAAGTTTTAGGCCTCTTAACCCAAAATTTCCAACTATTATAATTTTATGGCATATCTTGAAATTTGTGGTATTTCTCTTCAAATATTAGCTACTGCAGTAATTTGAGACTTTCCATTCCATAATAAAACAATTTTCCAGTTCCCATTTCACAGATGGAAGCCCAAAAACACAACTCCCAGGCTTATAAAAAGACTATAAACACACACACCCCAAATATAGGTTATTAATTTTTAAATTCATAACTAGGAAAAAGTTCAGGAGTTTGAAAACTCGAGATTGGCAAGACCTCTAAACCCAGCTTTTTTTAGCAACCTTCCTTTGGACTGATTGCTTAATTAGAAAAAAATTATAAGAAAAGCATCATACACTCTAGGCAAGCACTATTTTTATGGTAAATCCCCTAACCCTTTCCAAATTAAACTGAACAATTTGTCCTTTCATGAATCAAAGAGAAGAAAGGTTTTTTCATAAATTAAAACTTTTAACTTTGATTTCTAGAATTAATTCTATATTTGTTTCTCTAATTAATTCTAAACTTATGTCTCAGTCCTCCAATCCCCATTCTTCTTGGCACCCACCCTGCAGACCCTCTCACAGAAAGATTGGCTGATATCCAGTGACATCCACACTATCCTTCCACAAAGCCAAGCCACCATAAAAAGATTCATAAAATCTGCAGGTCCATGAATCTTGTTACTCTGCCAACAAGGAAAAAAACAGTCACATAAAATGGGATGGTATCAAGAAAAAAAACCATTAGGGAAGAGATGGAAAACAGAAGAAGTTTGATTTTGGGATGTTTTAGAAAATACATAGTTATATACTGAATATAGAGTGATACCAATAATAATAGCACAAAGTTAGCAAGTTGGGTTAATACATGGAATCTGCATTTCTAAAAGAGTAACTCATTTACAAGAAGTCTGTTCTTATTATTGCTGAATAGAATTTAATATAATACAGTTAGTATAGCTCTATTGACAGCATATCCTCGTCTTGGCAAGATTCTCTAATCTTGCCAACTCTTCCAGGAGATAATACATGCCATCTGGAGGAAATGTTTCTCTATCCCCCACCCTCCCATCTGTTATATATTTCTCTTTGATCCCCCCACCCTCAGCACTTTATCCTCTGATCATCCCTAGACCTCAGACTCTAGCTGTACAACCATTTTCACTTTCAGTCTCACTGTATTTCTCTTTGGGTCTTGCCTTGTGGTTTTATCACACTACTGAAACTCCCAGTCTGCAATAGTCTTAGCAGAATCCTCCTTCATCTCTAATTCTTTCTTTCTTTCTTTCTTTCTTTCTTTCTTTCTTTCTTTCTTTCTTTCTTTCTTTCTTTCTTTCTTTCTTTCTTTCTTTCTTTCTTTCTTTCTTTCTTTCTTTCT